AATTTGGTTTACTTAGAGAATAATATTTTTCAACTTTATGGTTTTATTTATGAAAAGCTATTTATGCTGGTAGTCAAATGCTTTAATTTCGCTCTCATTTCAAGTATTCCATTGCCCTTGATTCTCCTCTAAATAGTGGTCTGCAAAGAGAAAATGAAAAGGGGAAATACACAAACTAGGTAGTTTTGCCGTTTGAAAATAGATATGGCTAAATACTGATATTAGTTCAGTGGAGAGGATGACACTATTACTGCAAGAGAAGAGAATCACTGAGATGATATCTCCTTATTTTGGAAAAAACAGTTCAGCATATAATTCTTGTGTCCACTAAAATATATCCTAATATTTATCTGAAACTTTCATTATATCTTCCCTTATTAAATGCATATTGATAGTTGTGTGTTAACATTTCCTTTTTCCCAATAATAACCCTGATTTGCATTATCTAATGTTAACATACTGTCCACTCCTTATAGAAGAATCCTCTGCCCAAATTTACTATATACTGATTTCCAGCCATTCTCAACAATAGTTATGGTTTTCCAGGTATCATTTATTGTCTATTCTAAATCTTTCTTTGGTTAAATAACCTGGCCCTAGGCAGGCTTTTCCAAATAACATGTGGCAAATGCATTCTGGTTCAGTGATGCTGGGACCCTTCGGAGGTGTTGGTTTGTCGCATTTAGAATTCGGATGCTTCGCCATGCTGCCATGCTCAATAAGGTTTTGTTAAATTGAAATGAGGAGCTTTTGTTTTCATAAAGTTTTAGGCTATTTAAAAATAAGCCAACCTAGACCACAGGATAGTTGATTATAAAGTTGGCTTGCACGTGTTGAGTGCTCATGACGTACCAGGCCATGTCCAAGATAAGCCATGTGGAAGTAAAAATGGAACTAGAAGGAGAGCATTTCCCCCCAAGCACAGTCAGCAGACCTGCTGGATCAAATCCTACAAGATAGGGCTTCCCTGGTGGCGCAGTGGTTGAGAGTCCGCCTGCCGATGCAGGGGACGCGGGTTCGTGCCCCGGTCCGGGAAGGTCCCACATGCTGCGGAGCGGCTGGGCCCGTGAGCCATGGCCGCTGAGCCTGCGCGTCCGGAGCCTGTGCTGCGCAACGGGAGAGGCCACAGCAGTGAGAGGCCCATGTACCGCAAAAAAAAAAAAAAAGAAAAGAAAAAAGAAATATCTCCCCCAAATTCAGCCAGGAATCTGAACTGTCTCATTCAGTTAGGCCTCAAGTAGAGTTACTGGGCAATGTTTCTAAACCACAGCTTGGGTAGTGAGTTCTGTTCCTCTCCTTTTCTACCTCAGAGTCTAGTACATTCTCTTCTCACAGCAGACTGGGGTCCAGGTGCATTAAGGGAGTTGTTTGCAATCTCACAACTACCTACTTGAAAAAACAGGAAATGTAAACACACCTCCACATTTAGTCAGTAAGGCCGATGGATTGGGGGCAGGACTGCGTTTTTCACTATGACCGTCCCCATAGCCACTCACACCTTACCGTCCATCTAGAACATCCTAAATACATATCTGCTGGGATTAATAACATTCATTTTTTCACATTCAGAATGTTTATAACAACCACCACAAAAAAATTGAGAACATAATCTACTTAATAGTTAATAACAACTATTCCCATTGGATACCTATTTGTGTTGGCCATTGGGTTCAGAGTTTCAGGTGCAAGATTTTTGAGCCTTACAATAGCCCTGTCATGCTGGAGATAATCATTCCCATTTTATAGAAGAGGTCACAAGGTTTTGGTCCTGGAAATAGAGAAGCAGCTTACTAGCCAACCAGTGAGACTGCCTGACCTTCCATGAATCAGTCCTGACGGCCTCTTGTAGTCACTTCAGAATCACATAAGAAAAGACAGAAATCAGTATTTTTACTCACTAGCTCTGGCCTTCTCGTTCTATATACCCAAAGGGGAGCCTCCTACACGTCTCAGTTCTCACACTCAGCTCTACGAGTGAAGCCTAACAAGTCGGAACTCTCTAGAAATACCTTCTGAGGTTTTTCTCCCAGGAAAAAAATGGTGTGGGAGGGGAGTGGTTATTGTCAAAAAAAAAAACATCTCACGAGAGGAGAATGGAGCTAGTTCATTTGCATAACTGATTAGAAAGAAATAACTTCTATTATTTTCCCGCATCCTTTTTAATTTTTTCCTCACTAGACTTCTGACTCGCTCTAACATTAAAATCAGAAATTATTTGTTTAGTGTACGGCTAAAAACGAAAGGCTTAAAGGAGTATTTGTCAGTAAGCCTAAGCCCTTAAATTTAGCCCTGAGAACTTGGGTGAAAACTGTGCAGGCTACTCAGAGAATGAGGTGGAGTCAAGAAGTGCCGGGGTCCTCGCTACTGAAGGGAAGAATGTGTCGCTGTAGCTGCTCACATAGCCCGGGGAGCACTTCTGATCCCACTGCTGAGACGGTATGTGTGCATGTGTGCAGACATCAGAACGTTTATTTTTTCATAAACTCCCCTTGTGAAATATTTCCTGAGCGAAAACGGCAATGTTGAAATATATTGGCTTCTTCAAAAATGGCTCCTGGTTTCTACAGTTGCACTTAAAACATTTTAGAGGATTTCTTTTAGTAAAGAGTAAGGTTAGAGTACATTATTTAAAATGAGTACAAGAACTTTTGTTTTATTCTTTTAGCTAAAAATGTTCACAATATTTACTCCTTACAGTGATGTTTTGTGGTAATTTTTTTTCCTGAAGACGTGAGTCTAAGCCAAAAAGAGTTGCAGTTCTCAAACTTATTACTAGAAGTATGAGAATAATTAGTATCAATTTAAGTTTTCCTACATCTTAGGAGTGGATTTGTAGATGGAAAGTCACTCAATAATGGAGGCATTTTTCCAGAGGTCACGTAAAGGCTGGCTTATGGTTCTGCTTTTCCTTTTCCTTACCTCACCAAAAGGTCTGAGGATAACCAATTCCCAGCTTTGAAACATAATAACATTGAATTGGGTTCCATACATTTTACTGACCTTCTAGTTCATTTTGTTGCATTAACTTGCCTGCCATAGCGGGGTTTGTCCTCGTGGGATTTGACCTGTTGGTTTTGATTTGAAAGGGTTGATGTCCAGCTGAAACTGTTAAATGAGTTTGAGTTTCTCTCTTGATTCCTGAACTCAGTACATTGCTGGCATCCCTTCAATGCTGCAATAAGAGGCCTCCAAAGTTCCTTTTGTCTTTTGCAGCGAGACATCAACTTGACATCTATTTCATGGTTTAAAACGGAGCCTTTGACTTAATTTATGTGATTTTTTTTTTTCCATCTGAATTATGGCTACTTAAGTAGTGTTGGCTCTGTTAGGGTAGTAGCCTTTGCTAAGTTTGTCCAGATACGACTTGGGTTTTAATGGATGGCCAGAGAACATACAGAGGTACCCAACCCTGGTCTTGCTACATCAATATTCTCCTTAAAGAACTGTCTTTCCCTTGTGTTATTTTTAACTTAGAACATATGACAGAAATATAAAACAGAAGAATATTTTGTGCATCTAGAAAATGCAGGTCTTTAAAAAAAAATCTTACTAAGACACAAAGTCTCCATTTTACTGTGAACCACTTTTGTTTGTTTTTCATAAAACAGATAATGTTTGTGTGGGTCTCACAGCTGAAATAAGGGCACAGAAGTCAAACCTTGGGAATGCAGTCTCTGCTTTACTATGTAACTGTACCTTCTTTTTTATCTAGTCTAGGAAATTGTGTAGAGGATTAACCCTCTCCCTTTTCAGAACATCCAGTATCTAGAAAGAGGCTGAGTCCTTTGAGCAGCAGATGCTTTAGGTGTGAAACAGAAAATTACAATATTATTCACAGAATGCTAGTAATATTTATATTCAACATAAAAGCAAATGATTATCTAGTAATTCTATTCACTGGGCCAAAAAATTCTAGTATCTATGGTAATGATGCCTCATTGCTTTTGTTTAAATCCAAAGATTGTAACTTTCACATATTTCTTTTTCAGGTAGACGATGTACTTTCTAATATAAAATACTACTAGATTTCTTTACCTAGAGAAATGTATTTTAGTTGGCTTCAATTAAGAAATACTCCCTTTTTTTTTCTTTTAATGTGATATAGAAAGGGTAAATATATTCTGATCTATGGTCTTACTAGAAAATATAGTGATGTCTTTGCTATTTTTCATTACTCTTTTTAATGCCCAAAGGACACATTCAGTAAATTTGAGGCTTACTGCAGACTTGGAATTATTCTTTGTTGAATGTTGAACTAATTGGTTTGAATACTTTTTATGCGCTTTTGTTGTTCAACTCCACATCATAATTGTAGATTATTCATCTGAAATGAATGGATTTTTAATTATTTAAACTTTGCCACTGCTAGCGTGTGACCCTCTGAGACTTTTTAAAGAACAGACAGCTCTTTTCCCCCTAGACTTTACAGATTTAATTTGTTTTTGATACACATACCATTTATCTTATATTAAAAAAATTCTATGTTGTTTGTTATACTTTGATAGATTTACAAATTATTTCTCCTTTTCTTTAAACAAGCATATTTGGAGATGGTGATAGCTCAAGATGAAATAGGTTGTGCCTTTTAAACCTTGATGGATGAACACTGAGTATCTCACCACGTCATTTAAGTGCCTAAGTGTAACCTTTCTGAAATGATTCTTAATGTCTATCTCAGACAAATCTGTGTTTTCTTTTCAAGAACTCTGAAGTTTCAAATACCTCTCTCCTTATTTTACTCAGTGACAATCTGCAATTTATTTCTCTCCAGGAAAATTGAATCTGTTACTGCTTAGTATTCCTACCAGTTTGAAAAATGTGGTTTACATTGGCATCAGAGCAGCAATCTACATATATTGGGATAACAAGAATGCACGCCAGAAAAAGATCAACATAAAACGAAATGCGGAAAAGCTGTTTTCCTTCAACAGCAACTCAAAGTAAAACTAATAGAGAAATTGATGAGGATCTGCCCTAAATGTGTCACTTGTTTCTTCTAGGTGAAGTGTGACCAGTATTGGCCCAGTAGAGGCACAGAAACCCATGGGCTTGTCCAAGTGACGCTGCTAGATACCGTGGAGCTGGCCACGTATTGTGTTCGAACGTTTGCACTTTACAAGGTTTGCTTTTTATTTTTTCCCTCCCTTTCCCCTTTCCATTATTTAAAGAAAGCTTCTTCTGAAAAATCGAATATCTCAGGGCTTTACTTAAATCTTGATTCTACTGGCAACAATGAAGAATGAAATAATTCTTCCATGATCGCTCGGCAGTTTTTCTCCTTGTCTGGAGATTTATCAGTAAATATGGAACTCTTGCTCTGAATGAAAGTCTCAGCAAATGAAGAATAGGTGAAGAAGAGCTATAGTTCTTTCTGTAAAATGTAACAGGAGTGCTCCTGATAGTTAAGCCTGAAAAATCAGTGCTTCTCACCCAGGAATTTTGTCTTCCTGAGCAAATATTTGTCATTTACAAATTGCGTGAGCTTTATAACTCCAAAGAGTGTGTCTTCCCAAAGGATATAGGGTGGGGGAAGGAATTAAGATAGCACATCTTTGTGTTACCTCTTGCATGTTATTATTCATCATTACAACCTGAGGCTAGGAACACAGAATTTCAGCCAGTGTTCCTACTTCACAGAATGGTTCAAGTGAGAAGAGAGAAGTAAGACAATTCCAGTTCACCGCCTGGCCTGATCACGGTGTTCCAGAACACCCAACACCTTTTCTAGCTTTCTTACGGAGAGTCAAAACCTGTAACCCTCCTGATGCAGGTCCGATGGTTGTGCACTGCAGGTAAGAACCTCTGAGAGCATCTTGCTCACAGTCAGAAGGTTTGTGGGGACACAGAAAACCGAAGGATGCCTCATTGGATATTCTGTTTCCAACCTCTTGATACTCTGGGATAGCCACTGCCTTCGTAAAGAATACAGGTAGTCTTTTTTGGTCAAATGAGGCCTCTACTAACATTAATAGGAAGGATTTGCTACACTGCCTACCCGCCCTGGGAGATAAAGGCAACTATGATCCATGGTATTTTATCTTTAGAGCAGAACTAAATATATTCTTTCAAAAAATAATATATGTATGAACTGGTTGACAGGCTCTTGTGGGCTGGGTCCTCTTTGCTAGGCAACTCATAGGGAAAAAGTGCTGAACAAAATATTGATAATATTGTAAACATACAAGCTTAGAGAGAGAATTTCTTACTGCATATTAGTATTATCAAGTCACATACAGAAAATATACTATTTTGAGCTTTAAAATTTTATTTAATAAAATATATACGAAGATCTATAGTTCGGAAGAATTTATTTTATGTACTTGGAGGTAATGAACCCATATTTCTCTTGAAATGTATAATTTATTATTTTGTACTTTTAATTCTAACATTCTCTATATCATCGCTCAGATTCTACTATATTTAAGTGTTCATACATTTTTAATACTAAACTGATTTCTTCTAGTTTCCTGGATTCCTCTCAAGTATCATTACTAACAGATTATTAAAGATACCTAGTCAGATTCTGTTTATTGCTATATAAATTACGGTTCATGTAACTTCATAAGACTTTTTTGTAACCTAAGTAATTCAAATATGACAGAACACGGCTTCTTGCACAGATAAGTAAATTTATAGTTTGGAAGTACATAAAAGAGGAAAGGAAGCATCTATCATAAACCACTTCTATCATTACTCAATAGTATAACTTTCATTCACATCCCATATTATACTATAGCATAATGTAGTAGATCTTAGAAATAGGGTCTATTTTTATAAAAAGTTGGGGACAATGGATGGATCAGAATAAAAGCAATAAAATTCACCTGACTAATCCATGCTAGAGGGGTAATTGTTAAACAATGGCCTGGCAAATTTCAAGCAAGATAATGTTTAATTTCTCTTTTCCAGCATTCTTCCCCAACAAAAACGAATAATAACATTACCTTATATTCACTGAGTATTTTACAAATTCCAAAGCACTCCCCCACGCTTTACCGTGTTTGACGTTCTTAACAATACGTCAGGTTGAGAAGAGAACATAAGAGAGGCTACAGGGTTTGATTCAAGTAAGATAGCTAAGAAGTTGGAGGTACAATCAGCCTCAGCTTATAATCAAGTTCTTGCTCCTCTTTAATCAGGACAGGGGCCTTTGAGGACCTGCCACTATGTTGCAGTTTTCTGCATGATTCTGAAGCAGTATAAATTATTATTAACTTGAGCAAATTATTATTAAATGAACAAATACTTTTGCATCATGAAATCAGATTTCTGGTTGGTTTCAGCAGGCAGTCTGTGTACTCTGTTATACATCTTTGCAGACCTCAAAGAGCCACTGAACCTGGTTACATGGTGCCCCTGCTCAGCACAAAATCAACTTGTGAAGTTCACACATGAAATGGTTTCAGATGGAGTTTGGGCATACGAGAGAAAACGGAGAGTTTGGCCTAACTCAAGAAATGTTGCCTTCATATGCCTACCGGCAAAAATGCAATTCACGCAGATGCATACATGCATACACGCAGATGTATGTGTGTTTATGTACATACACACAAACACATATACATTTTATAT